TTGATTATAAAAAAGTTTTATCAAACGAATTAAAAATTCATCCATAGAAAATGTAGAAAAAATATTTGCGGTTTTTTAAAGCTATAGAACTCCTAGAAATGTCAAAAACTGAAAGTGGGGATAAATTTTTTCTGTAAAAAACTTTCAAAATGACCATTTTTGACATTTTTTCTTCCGGAAAACGACCATACATGAATCTATAACCACTAATTAATTTTTTAAGAATCATTTAAATCATCTTGGTACTCCACAAAATCAGATAAAAAATTCTGAAATTATGGTTTTAGATCTGCAATTGTGATCGCGCCAAACTTTTTTTCTGTAGATCAAAAATTAATTTGCAGTTCGGAATTGTTCTGTGGGATAGCGTGCAATAAAAATTATGAAAATCTCCGACTTTTTTCAGATTACGGTAGTTCTCGTTCTGAAAATTCCAAAAATCGGAAATTTTTAGAAAACTTCAGAGATTTCCAAAAAAAGGCTGAAACTCTGGAGAAAGTATTCCAAAATTTGATTTTCGGAAAAAAAACGTTTTAAAAGTTTAAAAGCAAGTACGACAAAGCGCACTTGCACCCATATCAACCCCCTTCTATCTCCATTTTTCAGTGAATCCGTGGTTGCCCAAGGCATGGCCAAAGTGATGGTCTACAGTAACGCCAAAAGCAGTTGGGAACCGCCGATCGGCGGCGACGACAGTCTGACGACAGTGCAGCTGCTTCAGAATCGCACGCGTCTCGCATTCCGAATCATCTCGTTGCGCTCTACGGACAACGCTCTGTTGATAAATTCGAATCTGTTTCAAAGGTTGAAATATCATCCGGCGACCAACAATTTTCATCAGTGGAGAGATGAGGAGAAGCGAGTTTTTGGGTTGAGTTTCGAGTGTGAACACGAGGCACAAGTGTTTTTGGAATACGTGAAACAAGCGTTGACACAGTTGGAACGGCATGGAGGAGGGGGCGGAGCTAATGGATTCCAGCAACAACATCGTGAGTCTTTTCTCATACTTGCAAAGCCAGGGCCCGGGTTCTCCAAATTTGAAAAAAATTGAAATTTCAGAAATTTTTTCAAATTTTTTTGTGAAAGAACTATTTTTTATGGACACTTTTATCTTGAAAAATTTTTTTCTTGTCGGAAAAATCGTCCATTCTTTTCTGTTGACCCCAAAAATTTTTTTGGAAGACTGAATTTTTTTCTGAAAATCCGGGCCGGGCCCTGAAAATTCTGAAAAAAAAACCTGGCCCGGCCTGGCCGGTTGCAAATATCCTTTTTTTTTAATTTGGATCAGTCTGAAAAATCGGGAAAAAACTGAATTTTGGCACCGAGCCAATTCCAGCCAAATTTTAAGACTGGGGCGCAGCATAGTGAAAAAAAATACGATTGCAGGTTACGGTAGCCAGCGCTCTGTCGCAATGCCTCTAAATTTTCGAATTGTTTGAAATAATTCAATTTCGAAAGAGCGTGTTTACAAGCCTTGAAAGCTCGCTGGAGATTCTTGTGCGGAAACTACCGTAACCTGGAAAAAAAGAACCTCGATTTATAAGTTTTGGAAATTCTCAAACTTTTCGATTTTTGGAATTTCGGGTTTCCTGGAATTTCAGATTTTAGAAAACTAATTTTCTGGAATTACTTAAAGAACGAGAACTACTGTAACCTAAAACGTTTTTTTGACGATTTTCGGAAATTCCATAGTGAAAAAATCACGGAAAAAATTTCAAATATTTTGGGGTTACGGTAGGCCATCAGCTTCCAAGCTGTGCAAACGCGCTCTACCGGAACACTGTTGGTGTTTGAAAATTTCAAAAGACCCAAAAATAGGCGAAGTTCGCGATAGAGCGCGCCTGCAGACATTTCGAATTTTTGAGCAAAAATAGGCAGAATTGCAATAGAGCGCATTTGAAAATTCAAATTTTTCAAATTATCCATTTTTGGACTTTTTCGCAAATTTTCAATTTTTTATTCGAAATACACAAATTTCCACTAAAAAACAAAAAAAAATCAATCAAACCCCTCGTGCAAATCCTGACTATAAGGCGATTTTCTCCCAGGATTTGAAGACGTCTTCTAGATTTTTTTTTCTCAAATTTTTCTCATTTTTTTCTTTTTCTTGTTTTCTCATGAGTTTCTGGTGCTGTAAACACGACGAACCACGACAAACAATGGAGAATTTTCCAGAAATTGTGGTGACCCCCAATAAAAGTGAGAAAAATGGGGAAAATTTGGGAAAAATCCAGTAGAAATGGGTCATTTTTGAGCGAAAAAACAATGAAATTTCAGAAAAAAATTGAAAAAAAAATTTTTAGGTCATTTTTAAGCTAAATTTTCAAATTCCCGCTTAAAAATTTCCAAAATTTTTTTTTTCGAAATTTGCAGCAGCCGACAATGTCTACCAGGACCCCCATCAACACCTCATGCACATCCACTCGGCGCCCAGTTTCCATCATGACGAGAATCAGAATGCACAGTTTCGGTAAGTGCGCTCCATTGAGAAAATTTTGAATTTTCGGGGTGAGCAAATGCGCGCCAATGATAACATGTCAATTTTTGTACAGTAGAGCGAGCAATGACCGCGAAAATGCGCTCCGATTATAATTTATCAATTTTAGTTGTCAGCAAATGTGCTCCATGGATGATTTACTCATTTTTACCAAAAATATTTTTTTGTACAGTAGAGCGAATTTGCAAAATAAAAAACAACAAGTCGGCATCATCTGGTGTCTCTTTGTGACTGATCTGTTGATAAAAATGACTCATTATCAAATACATATAGAATAAGACAGAGAGAGTGAAATAAATTTGACGAAAGTGTGTGTGTGTGTGTGTGTGTTTACTGATTTTTGGTTTTGTATAAAAAGAGAGAATTCGCTATTACTCACTCTTCCTTTCCCCAATATTTTTCGTTCCTACTGTAATTATGGCGGTCTCTGAATGTATTCAACAATATGAGAGGTCAGTTTTTGAGCTTAAAATGGCTGAAAATGACTGAAAACAAGTCAGAAATACGCCGAAAAGGCCGAAAAAATTCAAAAATAAAGACTCTAAATCAGGCAAAAAATAGAGCTAAAAAGGCTAAAAATCGGTTTAAAAAATAGGCCGGAAATAAGCCTAATAAGAAGCCTTTTTTTTTGAAAAATTGATTTTTCCTCTTCCAGCAAAACCTCCCAACACGCCTCGACACTCTACAGTAATGGACCAATGACCCAACAGCAACGTCGAGCCTCCCAGACTTCCAGCAACGGATCATCAGCGGCTCCACCCGTCGCCCCACCGATCAACAATATCCCACAAGCCCCGCCCATGCCTCCATCCTCGGGAATTGCTCAGGTTAACACATCTGGCGCGCCTCCACCGCCTCCACTGCCTCCAGTCGGCGTTGGAGCACCACCACCACCGCCACCGCCTCCACCACCGGCGACACTGATGGCTGGAAGTGGTGGAATGTCGTTGGCAGATCAATTGAAGCAGAGATCCAAATCGCTCACCACCGGAAAACTGAATGGAGGGGCACCGGCGGCCGTGGAAGAGAAACCCAAACCGGTGGCCGCGGCTCCGAACATGATGTCGGAGTTGACAGCGCATTTGAATAAGAGAAAACAGACGCAGGCGAAATCAGACGCCGTTGATTCCAAATCCAACACATCGAATGGATCTTCGGATAGCGGATGTGGCATCGGACTGAATGGATCATCAAATGGAGGATCCATTGGATCGGCGGGAGCCAAGAAATGGTCGGTGTCGGAAGCAGCATCGAAACCGTTGGATAGCCCCAAAACGCATAGAAAGTGAGTGGGAAATTCAGATATTCAGAAAATTCAGAAATTGAGATTCCAGCCACAGACAGAATTTTCAGACTCCCCTCCGCGTCGTCGCTATTCTCACAAGAAGACCAAACGACGCCTTCCAAGCCGAGTACTTCGAATGGAACGACGGCGGGAGCGATGAGCAATGGAGCATCGTCATCATCGTCGGCGCCGACGTCCTCTGGCGTGACGAATGAGCAATTGGAGAGGTAGGCCAAAAATTATCGATTTTTCACGTGAATATAAAATTTTTTTAAATTATCGATTTTTGACGTGAAAAATACCGATTTTTCACGTGAAAAATTTTGAATGATTGATTTTTTGACTTTAATTTTGGAAAAAAATTTTAGGTGAAAATTTTCGAAATTATTGATTTTTTCAAAATATGTTTTGACCGGAAAAATATTTTTTCCCATTTTCACGTGAGAATTTTTTCCCGAAGTCTCGAATTCTACGCTATTTTTGATTCTATTTCGCGGTGAAAAACTGTAAGATTTCAAATAAAAAAAAATTTTCGTGGGATTACGGTAGGCTTGAAGTCTGCAAATACCGATTTATGTGAAGTCCGCAACTTTCGAAATTTTCAATTTTTTTGCATTTTTTGAGTATTTCAATGAAAGTTAGCATGTTTTTATGGGGTGGTTTTGCTGAAATCTACCTTTTTTTTCTCTAAAAATTCAATTTTTCTTGCAGACTTCGCGCCGACATGATGGTCGAGGTTCGTCTGGAAATCAACAAACTCCGACAGGACCTGATGGACGCGCAAGAGCGCTCAAAACAGGAAATTCTCGAGACGATTCTGAATGCCATCGGCGGTCGTCGATAGATCTCTTTTTTATTTTTTTTGTTTTATCCCAAAATTAAAAAAAAATCAGTCTCTAAGGTGTCCTAAACAGACGGTGCTCTCCACTTCTTTTTCACTCAAAAAACTCCTAAATTTATATTTTTTTAGTCGGGTCCGATTGAATAATCTCCAACAAAAAACGTTTTCTTTCAGTTTTGATTGCATTTAATTTTTTAAAATGATGGTTTCCATGAAATTTTCTATGTATCATGACCCCCCATTTTCCCTAATTTGTAATGTATTTTTCTAATTTCTTTCTCTCTAATTTCAAAATAATTTTCGCACTGCTCTCTTCTGCTCATATGTGAGTATTTCCTCCTCATGGGTCCTTTTTTGGCAGCATCATGAGACATTTAATTTTATATATTTCCCTCCTATCCTCCTCTATCTTAAAATCCATAAAGTTTTCAGAGATTTCAAATTTTCAGAGGTCAACCAAATGAAAAAAAGCAAACATTTGTACACACACAAACACGGAACAATCGAGGATTTTCACAAGTAAAACTGAGTATGGAGCATGGGGCAATAACAAATAAAAACGATATATCTATAAACGGATATGGGTGAGGAGAATGGTTTCACAGGGAAAAAACGAAATTTACAAAAAAAATATATGCTGAGCAATCCGAACTTTAGACAAAACTTCCAGCTTGAAGTGGTGGTGGCGGTGGGGAGCCGGCGAGCAGCTCGTTTCGACGCATTTCGAGATACGGTAGCACGTTGTTCGCATTCTGAATCGCCATCGACGCCATTGACATTTCGTTGTTGACGTGGAGCAGTTCGCGGTCGAGACTCCACAAGCGGCGTAGCTGCAAATTTTTGGAATTTTTGGACGTGAAAAGTTTGGAAAAATAGGTCACCACGTTTTTTTTTCAAAACTAGGTCACCACGTTATTCTTTCAAAATTAGGTCGCTACGTTTTATATTCACGTGAACTTTTTGGAAAAAAATAGGTCAATGTTTTTTAACACGTCATCACAAGTAAGAACATCTTTTAATGGTCCTCAGACCTTGGAAAGAAATTACAGATGCAGCCTGACCGGTTCAGGCAAATTTAGGCCATTTCTATCGATTTTAGCTCATTATTTTCCAAAAAATTTCATGTTTTTGCTCTCGTCATATCAAAAATCGATTTTTAGGCGGATTACTGTAGTCAAAAAAGACTTACATCCTCGTCACTCGGCTTATCACCCTTCTCGTTCAACAACACCACTCTCTGCTGATCAATCGCGATCGCTCGATTCCGCATCGATTCCATACGTGGCACGGCGCGTTCGAGTTGCAGCTGATTCTCTCGAATGTCTTTAGAGACCATCCATAGGGTCTGAAAAGAAAATAGAAATGTTTTGAAAATTTGAAAAGTAAATGTTACCAGCTCAAATTTGAAGTTTTCCGGATTACTATAGTTTCAGAAGTACGCAAAAATGCCAGTTTGGACAGTGTTCAACGCCTTTATCATAGTCAAATTAGTCTAAACTCGCGATGTAAGCGTGAAAAGTCATTTAAAAAGAATTCGGTGTTTGCGTACTTTTGAAGTTACAGTAGTAATCCGGAAAACTCCAAATTCAAGTTAGAAATTGTTTCTTTTCGGATTCTAAATGCAAAGTTTTCAATAACTAGAAATCCAACAAGAAAGACTGAATAATTCTAGTGTTTTGACGATTTTCAAGCCAGTTTTGGATTACTGTAGTACCATAAGTATGCAAATACCGAATATTTCAAAAATTTCACGCTAATTTTGATATTTCAAACTGATTCGATTATAAGGGAACAGAATTTGATACTGAAACCAGTGCTTGCGTACTTTTGGAACTACAGTAATCCGGAAATTTTCGAAAAGTGTCATTTTCGATAGTTTTTAACGCAAAATTAGCTTATACTACAGGCAAGTCGGTCTGAACTCGCGAAATAAACACAAAATCTCATGTTTTCCACAATTCGGTGTTTGCTTACTTTTGAAACTACAGTAATCCAGAAAATGCCAAAATGGAGCTATCTATTTGTTTTCGAAAAACACGAATTTATCAAGATTTCTTACATTCAAATGCTGCGGTTGGCAATTCGGTGGCGCCGAATTATTCCTGAACTGTCAGCCGTCGGAGGTGGCGTCGGATTGCTAGACTCCTCGATCTCCTGCTTCACCTTTTTCAACGGAGGCGTCGGATCTGGAGCTGTCGGCGTTGAAGCGGTGGATGCCAAGGAGACGTCAGATCTTGGAGGCATGAAGTGTCTTATATGCTGCGAATTATTCAATGTATCCGCAGAATAGTACATTGTGGGGTGTTCAGAAGACGTCATCATACAGTAAGACGCTTCGGAGGCACTTCTAACATGGGAAATCGTCGGAGAATCTGCTTGTAATCCAGTGCTTCCCACCAATCGAGGAGTGCTCGTGAAGCTAGGTCCACTGGAATTTTCATTGGAAAGCTTATTGAATTGCGCACTGGTCACTTTTTTGTTAGTCATTGCATTCCTGAATACAGGTTCCACGTCATCATCAGTCATCGATAGCGACGTGCTTCTTCTGGAGTCTGGAGAGTTATTGCAAACGAAAACACTGTCTATACTTTGGTTAGAGCCCAAAAGGCATGCTTTTCCAGGGCCAGGGACCAGGGAGAAGTCCCTCTGACGCTCCCGCTGCATCCGTTGCACATTGCTCACTTTCATCGCTTGCTCTCTGCCCATTTTTTGGAACATTTTCATACGATCCTCAGGTTGCATCTTCACACTTGTCGTTGGTTTGATAATTTTGGTTGGAGACGACGTGGTGGCTGGAAGCGAGGAGGCTGATGACGTGGATCCTTCGCCGAGCTTGATAATCGGAGCTGAGAGACGACTATCTCGATTATCTGCTGATCCTCCTGCTGCTTTCTTATCATTTTTCTGATTTTTTTTGAATTTATTGGTGATTTTCTTGCCCAACTCCATGAAATTGATTTTCGGACGCTGCTGCTCCACCTCCTCCTTCTTTTTCACTGCCATTGAATTGGTCCGCCTGAAACGTGGCTCCTGAGGTGGCTTGAACTGTGGAGACGACCATGGTTGCTCATAGGTGGTGGCTGTTGAGACGAAACTTTGGGTTGGCGAGGAATTATCTTGAAAACGCTTGTTTCGATGGTCCGGAGTGTTAGGTGGTCGGAACGCATTCGGCATTGTTTGTCTGAAAATTGTTGTTTTCGCTTTAAAGATTTTTTTTTCGAAAAACACCAACCTATATTTATTTCTCTCGAAATTCACATTTAGTCCTATCGGAGGACAACCATTCGCACCTCGATTCGCCATAATATTTCTGAAAAAAATTATTTTAAACTATTCTTCAAGTTTTAAGCTAAAAAAACGCTCCAAAGCTAACAAAAGTCTGTGTAAAATCTGATGAAAATCGCAGAAAATCGCCGCTAAACAACGCGCGCTAGCGGGATAGCGGAGTGTCGTAAATGGCATTTTTTTGAATTTATTTTTCTCAAAAACTTGAAGAAACAAAATTTGGCGGATTTTTAGATAAAAACAAATTCAGAAGAATGTAACATATAGAAAAAATTGTTTGCAAGTAAATACCTAAAATCTATCGTTTTCCTTTTTTTCCTGCAAAATTTTATTTTTCTTCAGTTTCCCATTGTATCCTTTTCAAAATTGAGGTGTTTCCCCATGATTGATATTCCCTTTTTTCTCGGCTTTTATGTGGGTTGGAGAATATAAAAGAGAGGTATAGGACGACTTTTTTCATTTTTCAGTTTACTTTTCTCTTTCTTCTCGAAAAATGAGAATTCTCTTTTTATCGTATTCTAGCTGAAGCTTTCGAAATTTCCAAAGCTCGGAAACTTCTGGAAGCTCTTTCTCCATTCAAATTTGAGAAGTTAACTCAACAATTTCAATCGATTTGAAGGCCAAAATGTAGAGCTCGGCAAGCTCTACAAAATGACATACAACTCAAAAGTTGACTTCCTAAAGTTATCGATTTGCATATCATTTTGTAGAGCTGTTCTAGATCTACATTTTGGTCTTTAAACCGACTGGAAATGTTGGGTTTGAAGAGAACAGGAGCTTCTAGAAGTTTCAGGATTCTGGAATTTTCGTTCCTGATCAATCGTTGCGTTGGTTCCCATCGAATGAAATAGAAGAAATTCAAAAAAAAGTTCATAGAAAAAAGGATTACATAATATCTAGGAAAGTAAACATAGGGGTACTGCAGTCCACCACCTGGCACCCAGCGGCACCTCTTTGAAAGGATATGGGAGAGGGGGTACTGTAGTAAGGGCGGTATGACGTCATGAGTAGCAATCTGGAGTATCTGGAGGAATGTAGCGCATCAGATTCCGAAACTTGAATTCCTAGAGCCGTTTATAAGATCAAAATCGATTTTTCCAATATTCAAAGTTTCAATTTAAAACTTCTGGAGTCTTGTACCGAATCTGGAAAACTGTTGATTCCAATATTTGAACTTCACGAATCTATTTCCGTTGTGCTGAATTCTGAAACTATCTGACAGATTCTAAATTAATCTAAGAGATTTTGAAGCCATCCGGTACTTTTCAGATCACTTTCAGATATCGCACTTGCTCTAATAGAAGCTAACCCTATACGTGCACTTTGAGCTTAAATATCTCTGTTCCTATGAGAGATATCAAAAAACGTTCAACTAATAAAATATTTATCATAATATCACCAATATTTTATCAGTGAACAAATGTTTGATATCTCTCATAGGAGCCGAGATAATTGAGCTCAAAATGCACGTTTAAGGTTGGCTCCTATTAGAGCAAATACGGTTGACTGATTCTAGTTCTTTTTTCCAAAGATTTTGAAGTCTGTCAATTCTATTTGGACCAGCTTTGTTCTCCATTAATCACACTCCAAATACACCACCTCTCCTCTCCAAGCTACCAATTAGAATTATTTCCTCAATGCGGGAAATTGAAGATTATATACCTTTTTCCCAGAATTTATGTTCCTCGGGACTATCGCTAATGAATGGCGAGCAGCTGCTTCTGCTTCCTCTTCTGCTCCTCCAGAGATTGGATTGTGACCTAGATTATGGAATGCACAAAATTTGTGCATAAACATCCAAGGCTTGTACACAATGTCATCAGGAAGAACGGATTTGGCTTAAGATTGCTGTAGAATTGATTAAAAAAAAATGAAAATATGGATCAAAGTCGTTGAAGAAAATTGATCAAGTTTGGTTGACGAATTCCCAGTTATTTTTCAAAGAATTTTATACAGATTGTTTACAAATTCAAATTTGATTTCATGATCAAATTCAGTCTTGTCAAATTCCGGCTCAAAATAAGTGAATCTAGGTCAAGATACCGAAATCATTCTCATAGAATGATCATTCAAGTTTAAGCTCGTATATCTCGTTCTCTGTAAAAGATATCAAAAAGTAGTTAACTAATAAAATGTTTTTAATTATGCGATTAATATTTTATTAGTTGACCACTTTTTGATATCTCATACCGGAAACGAGCTCAAAGTTGACAGTATACGGTACACCAAAAGTCACACGTGCTTTTGTGTTCCTTTCTTTTCACCTCTTCAAAGCACAAAGGCAGTCAATCTTCCTCCTATTCAACATTTTTTGCGCGCATCTATTTGCATGGTTATTTCCATGCCACGACACCTATTTATCATATTTCTGCTGTTCGTGTCGTTAGGCATCGCGGAAAACAACGCGATGCGTGTCGGGGAGGCGGTTGCCAGCTGAGTAGCGACTTGACTACGCTCCAACATTTAGAACATATGTCCGACAAGGAAACCCCTTCCCGTCGCAAAATTTGACCGCGTGCCAGTTTTCAAAATTCTGAAATTTGCTTTCAAATATTTTGTGTCGTCTCCGCTGACGACCGTTGCCCTAGGATATCTGTTCGCTGCTTCTCCCTACACAGCTCATAAACATTTGACACATATCCATCAAATTGATGGCATGGAAACATCCACTTCAAAAACACAATTTCTCATTTATTTTTGAGCTGATGGATTTGTGAATGCAGTGGCTTATGAATACGTGGCGCTGCGGGCTTTTTTTCCGATTTGCATTGATACATGCATATGCAATAGGGGATGGTTTTATCTATAATATATTGCAAAAAAGCCATCAATTTTATTATTGCTACAGTACCCCCATTCGGAGTTTTATGACTAGCTTCTATCTTCTTAGCTATAAATTTTTTGGTACAGTACACCTTTCGGAGTTTTATGGATTAGCTTCTATCTTATTGCAAAAGCTTCCATCTTCTTCAAATGATTCGTTTTTCAAATTCTTCCCTTTTCCAACGAGAAAACAGTCAGTGGTTCGAACAGGAATGCTCACAACTTTTGTCTCTAATTATCGAAAAATGCTTTTCAAGTTTGAAGGGACACACTATATTGGGTTGTAAACGAACAGTAAATAGTGTTTACTGAACACTCCAACAGAATGCCTTTAACTTTGAGCCCATATATGTATCTCTTTTCTTGTAAAAAATATCAAAAAGATTTCAAATGACAAAATTTTTCTGATAATTTAATATTCATTTTGTCAGTTGACTACTTTTTGATATCATCCACAGGATCCGAGATAAGTTGGCTCCAATTTGAATGTTCGGTACTTTTGTTAGAACCAAAACTTTGACGGCAGTCCCCTCACTGATAAGAACTTTATCAGTTCAATTGAAATTCTCTTGCATTCTATTCTGTGCTTGTCCTTCACAAAGAAATACATTTTCGAGTTTGCTTTGGGATCCAGGTGGGCACTTTTCACCATTTTTGCGTTTTGAAGATTCCCAGAACCTTTACCAGTATTAAATGTCATAATTAGATAAGTTTCTTAAATGTCATACATAGATGAGTAAATGTCATAATTAGATGAGTTTTTTTTATTGCTCACATTTTCAAATGTGTGGATTACTGTAAGAATGGGACTTTTCGAGTAGAGTTGAACTGGTCGGGTCCACAATGTTAGGAAATTTTTGGAAAATCCAAATTTCTGATTTTTCAATTTTCAGGGTACTTGGGTTTTTGGGTTTTTTAAAAATTTTAGACTTTTGGACGGGACATTTTTTTTCAGAGTTTTTCACTACTTCAGACATTTCTAGCCTTTTTTAGTTTTTAGAATTTTAATAAATTTTCAGCATTTGTGGTTTTTTTTTGCTTTTTCTGCCATTTCAAGATTCCCTAAAAGATAAGATGAAATTTTAGATCAGAATTTTAGATCTGGGATTTTCATCAGATTTTCTTGACTGATAAGTGTCTAACATTTGCCTATCAAGATTATCATATGAATTATCAGCTTCTAGATCATCTGTATCATGTTGCTTTTTTTATTTTTAAAGTCCAAGTAGGCGTGGTTTCATCAAAAAGGTCGAAGTTCGTTGTCCAGGGAGGGGGGCGTGGCCTATCTCTCCTCTCCGTTCCGTTTCTCCTCCATTCATTCGGTTTCCCTCTCTCCCTCCCAGTTGCCTCCTCTTCCATTTCTCTTCTTCCACTACCACACACCACCAACTGTTGATTCTACTTTAAATTCTCTACGCTAGCTTCGTTTTCTTCGTCCTCAGTCAGTTTTCTTTTAGTATAGTATAGAAAGTCATCATTGACCAACTTTCCAAGTCGGATTAATGGCATCTTAACTCGAGATTCTTGAGGAGTGTCTACCACTGTTCTTTTTTCTTCACTCAGGTAATTCTAACCACTATCTCTTATCTTGACTATCAGTAGGCGCTGCAGAGAGGTAATAATATACTAATTGCAATGGCCATAAACAGTACCGTAGATTGAAAACGTTGTGTTAACAGAATTTATTGAAAGTTTACATGTTTTTTTTTACTTAAATCGTGAAAAAAAGAAGGTGTCCTTTAGAAATCAGAGAATCTTGAAATGTCCGAAAAAGCTAAAAATTCCTAAAGAACTTTACTTTCGAAAAATCGAAAATTCATATTTTTCCATTTATAGAATTCCTGAAAATCTCGGATTTTTAGGATTTTTCAAAGTTTTTAGATTTGTTTTGGTTATTTCGATATTCTCGTAGTTTGTGGGTATTTCACAATTTTCGGATTTTTTTTGGATTTTTCGTAACTCTTTGAAAATCGAGGATTAGTTTTTTTCAATTTTCGGAGTTCTCGAATTTTTTTGGAATCTTTTCAGTTTTTGGATTTTCTGAATTTTTCAGCTTTTTCAGCCATTTCAAGATTTTCTGACTTCTGAAGGACATCTGCCCTTTTCACGTTTCCAGTACAAAAACCAGCCGAAAATGGGTGTCTTTCAAACATCGGCAAATAGCAGAAAAACTAGAAATTTTCAAAAAATTCTGTGAATGCAAAGGTTTCATTCTAGGTCTGTTTCCTACCCTCCGACAGTTTAAAGATGTTCGGAAATTGATAGCCGAGCTCTAGACTCCTGAAAATGCCGAAAGTCAACTGAAAAACTGTTTGTATACCAAACCGTCAACTTTGAGCCCATATATCTCATTTCCTGTGAAAGATAACAAAAAGTAGTTCACTGACAAAATATTTTTCATATTATGATAAATATTTTTACAGTTGACCACTTTCTTACATCTCATACAGTGACGAGATATATGGGCTCAAAGTTAACGGTTTGGGTGACACTCTATTACGTTATCATTAACTGTTACTGTAGTCTATGGCTTGTGGGACCCCTGCTGATTAGAAATGCATGTTCCCGGAGACCGCTAGGCTGTGAATGGATAAATGAGTCATGAGGAGGATCTGGAGGATCTGCGAAAATCCTTGTTTTGGCCCTAAGCAGCCTGCGAGCGGTCCTGGCCCATCTGTTTCAGGCAGGTGGACCAGGAGGTACATTAGCAAATTTTTCTTGGTTTCCAAGGCTCCAGGACAAAGGCAGCCGTCTCCCCGATCCTTCTCAATGTGGTCCCATCCATTTCAAAAGAGAAAAATTCGCCCTCCTGAGGTCCCCTCTTCTCTGCGTTGATCTTCACCCACAAACAAACCATCCATAAAACACTCGTTCTCTGCGCCTCTCGCTGACCCAGTTTCTCTCGTTCCGAACTTCGGGAGTCTCTCCTTTTCCTACAATACCTCGTTCCTCTCTCGCACCCGAAAGCACCGTCTTCTCGGACATCGAATACACAACAATTCGCCTCTCCCGGCTGGCTGTCATCCCACTTTTCTTACTTCACAGTTTACCAGTTTTAATTGGGGTTTTTCGATTGACTGTTTTGCTGTAACAGAGTAGCTATAATTTCAGTATTTTTGATAACAAAATTGGATGAAATTTTGCCATTTTAAGAGCGCTCTAATCCCTTCTGGCACACAGCCAAAATATACGCTAGATGTCGCGATCTCCTTCCAATCCTAGGAGAAGAGCCCCTCTATTTTCCCCCTAGCAATAGAAAACGGGCTCTCTTTCTCTCTGAGCTTCTGGTTCTTCTTGCCGGCTAGTGCCAGTGTTCGTGTCAAACAGCTGTCATGTCTTCTATCCTTCTCCGTTTGACGTGAAAAAAGTGCTGCGTGCGGTTTTATGTCCTTTTGTTATGCATTAGACCTTATTGTCATAAATTATAAGTTACCAGCAAGCTGGTGCGCCATCGGCGCGATTTAATCTAGGTTTTTTTCACTTGTTCGTTGTTCAACTATTCATGTTTTCTTAAAGGGTCACGTAAATTGATACTTTATTTTCAAGCTTTTCAAAAGTCCACAGCGGGAAAAAACTTGGAACTGTTTCAGGTATTTTGTACCCCCGAATTAAAGATTTTGTACCCTTAAATTGCGTTGTACCCCCTTACCCCAAGATTTTTGTACTCTCCGAATTAACTGCCTTGATTTTGACCATATTCAGAAGTCTAGAACTCTGTCAAGTTTCCGATCTTTGAATATTTTGGAGGATGTAGAACAAACCCAGATTGAAAACTTTACTTTCGTGAAATCAAAAATTACTTGTTTTCCAGTTGTTTACTGATTTCTGAAAGATCCCCGTTTTTGGCCCGATTTTGCCCTGAAATCGTGAAAAAAGAGCAGGTGTCCTTCAGCATTCAGAAAATCTAGAAATGGCTTTGAAAGCAATTTTTTAAACTCTGAAAATCCTAAAAATGAAAAAATTCCGAAAAATTCAAGAACTCCGAAAATTGAAAAATCTTAATCTCGATTTTCCAAGCGTTACAAAAAATCTGAAAATTCTGAAAAATCCTAGGATTTCATGAATTCTATGGAAAAATCTGAAGTTTCGATTTTTCGAAAGTAAAGTTTTTCAATCTAGGGTTGCTTTACACCTTTAAAGATTTTCAAAGTAATCCGACACTTGATAGGAGAGTTCCAGACTCCAGAAAAAAACCGAAAATCAACTGAAAATTACGTTTTTGTATATCTTATTGACCCGTACTGAATATTTTTGTCCGACAAATGGTAAAAATTGAGCCATAATGAACACGGCGGTTCAGCTACAGCTCAGCTACAGATGGCACATCAACCGTACCTGCCGAAGAGCTAATTGGTCAAAAAATCCACCGTTTAGCTGCCGAAAAGCTAATTACAGGACATCGACCATATGCCTATCAAGCAATTAACATATTGCGTTTATCTATTTTTTTTCTTCTCACCTTCTATGATAGAAACGACCCTAGGTGGGCTTGGCTTGGATTTAAAGATCCCAGTAATTAGCGCTAATTGGTCCTTTGAGCTTCCATTGTCTTCGTACCTTGACGTCTTCTATGATGCTATAGATCCACAGATAGTGCCGACATGCGTGAAATCTAAGGTCGAGAGGTTCGAATAGATAATTGGCCTTGGAATAAGGTGTATTGTTCTAGGTGTATTGTACTACCAAACAAATGATGGTCACATAGATCTAATTTCGGAAATATTCGTTTTGGACCTTCTTTTGTCTTTTTTTTTGCATTTCTCACTATCAGTCTACCGTATTTGCTCTAATAGAAGCCCACCCTAAACGTGCACTTTGAACTCAATTATCTCGGTTCCTATAAAATATATCAAAAATGTGTCAACTGATGAAATATTGACAATGTTATGATCAATATTTTATCAGTTGAAGGTTTTTTGGTATCTCTCCCAGGGACTGAGATAATTGAGCTCAAAGTGCGCTACTTCTACGTCGGCTTCATCAGGCGACGTAGGCTATTTGAATTTTTATCTATGGAATCAAACTCTCCTTTCCTCTTTCCTGATCACCTGTTTCTACATATGTTTTCAAAACCAACCACCTGGATATTGGTACATCCTATTACACCTGCTGCCCTTATCAAGTCCTCGTGCCGTTATTTCTTAAACCTGAATGATCATTTTTGGCTTCTCCTTATTACTAGGGGGCGTGGCTTATTTCTGCTTCCTACTTTCTTACTATTATGCTCATCGTGATCCTTCATTCTCAAAAGGACATGTCTTATACCGCTTTCTCAGTGTTTTAAGTTTTGTGTCCCCATTTTTTGGCTTCTCCTTATTACTACTTTGATCTACTTAAAGGCGCATAGGCTGTAATCCAGCCTCTGGCCTATAAACTCTCTCTCTCTCTCTCTCTCTCTCTCTCTCCTGTGATTCACCCCAACGACCCCCCAAATTTTTCTATCCTCCGAATTTTTTGCCTGTAAGCAACCCTTCTTCTCTATGAAATATCTCCGATTTTCAGACCTAACACTTGGAGACAAAAATGAGCAACTACAACAGAGGATACGATGACAATCGTCGCGATGGTGGTGGCGGAGATCGCCGTGGTGGTTATGATAACCAAAGAGGCAATGACGACTACAGAGACGGAGGCTACCAGGATAATCGTGGTGGCAATCGTGACTACAGAGGAAACGACCGTGGCGGATACGAGAACAGAGATGGTGGCTACCAGGACAATCGTGACGGCAATCGTGACTACAGAGGAAACGACCGTGGCGGATACGAGAACAGAGATGGTGGCTACCAGGACAATCGTGACGGCAATCGTGACTACAGAGGAAACGACCGTGGCGGATACGAGAACAGAGATGGTGGCTACCAGGACAATCGTGACGGCAATCGTGACTACAGAGGAAACGACCGTGGCGGCTACGACCATAGAGATGGAGGCTACCAAGGAAACCGTGATAACTACAGAGGTGGAAATGATAACAGAGACGGCGGCTACCGTGGCGGCAACGACAACTACAGAGGCAACGACAACTACAGAGGCAACGACGATCGCCGAGGATACCAAGACCGTGGCAACCAGGGAGGCTACCAAGACCGTGGAGGCTATCAGGACAGAGGAGGTCGAGACCATGGAGACAATCTCAACCAACAAATGGGTCGGATGGGTCTCGGCGGAGGGAGAGGTGACGGTGGCAACATATATGCTCAACAGCGCGATGGTCCACGTCCGCAACGCTCCGCAGCTGGAATGGCCAACCCAGGAGATCTGGCTGGCTCGGCCGATCATCCCAACATGCCGGTAGCCAAGAAGGATCTCGCTCACAACTCACAGACATTTGCCAAGCGTCCCGACACATCTGCCTACGACAATCCACGATGCGGAACCAAAATCGAGCTGCTTACTAACCACAGTCTGGTTCACTTGCCACACGAACCAATAAAGCTGTTTGAGTACAACATCGACGTGTTCAAAGGACGAAAGAAGCTCGAGAAACGCGAGGAAGCGGGTCCGATGTTCCGCGAGATTGCGAGTACATCGGAGAGAAAGGACTTAGCATCATTCACCGAATATGTGTACAACGACGTCAACTTGCTATGGTCAATGAAGTCTCTCCCACGTTCTGAGGGACCAGTCAGCGGGAAGAACGGCTACATCTACTACAAGTTCACTCGTGTCGTTGAGCTGGGATCCGAGGTCAGGAATCAGGATAGTCAGCTGCTGTCAACACTGGTTGATGCCATCGCCACTGCTAGAGTTAGATGGCCAAAGTGAGATTTTTGTTGAGTTTGAATTTCAGTCAAATCTTGTTTTCAGAAGGACTGGAAACCAGTTCAGTGTCTTCAAGCGCTCCATCTTTTTGCTCCAAAACCGCGTGGACGACGGAGCTTTTGGCGATGCACCGATCTTCGTTAAGCTTCGCAATGGAGTCGACGCGCGTATTGGAGTCTCCATGGGCATCAAGCTGAACCTTCGTGTCGGAATCACTGCTTGTTTTGATGGTGAGTTAGAGGAATTTTTATGGTTTTCAAAAATTTCCAGAATGTCAGTTTTTTGGAGCTTTTCTGAAATTTTCTATTTCACAAAAAGTTTTGTCAAAAACTTATTTTTTTCAATAATCAGAAATTCCAAAAAATTCTAATTTCTAAAATTCAGAAATTCAAAAAATCAAAATTTTCAACTCTGAATTTTTCTGATTCTGAAATTCTAATTTTTGATAATTTTCGGAACTTCAAAAATAGTTTTTTAGAATTTTCTGGAATTCATCACTTTAAAAAATTAGATTTTTTTCAGAATTTTTTTCAGAAAAATTTCCTGAATTTCAGAATTTCCAAAATTGTGAGCTTTTGAATGTCTAAATCTCCGAGTTCCTGAATTTCACAGCTTCTGAAATTCTAGATTATTTCAATGTTCAAATTTCAGAATTTTTAGATTTTTGGTAATTCTCCAAAATTTTTTTGAAATTCCTAACTTTCCCGATTTTCAGAAATTTCAAAATTTTCGGTTTTCAAGGAAATTTTGGATTCTTTTAAAATTTTTGTAAATTATATTTCACAAAAACTTACTTTTTTAAAAATCATCCACAATTCCAGAAATTTAAAAAAATCAGAAAATCGAAAAATCCTAATTTTTAATTCTGGAGTTTTCCTGAATTTTCCCGAATTTCGCTCGACCATGCAAAGCAAAAAAAAATGCCATTTTTGCAAATGCGCTCTATAGCAATTAACGCGAATTTTTATAGCCAATAAAAAAATAATTTCAGTGTCCCACACACTCTTCACCCGTCCCGGCTACCCGCTGGTCCGTCTGTTCTGGGAGCTCATCCACGGCGACACCCTCACCGATGAGGAAATCGTCGAGGGCAACTGGGATGCCGACATGAAGTTGGCTCGGCCCACAGGCCAAAACATCAAACTAATGAGCGACGTCCTCAAAGACATGAGAATAATGTTCACGAACAAAGACGGTTTGAAGTTCGACGAGAAGGGTAATTATGAGGAGAGAGATTTGAAAAGGCTGAAAGAAGTGAAAGCGTTCAAATTCTATCAGTTCTCAAACGATTGCTTCTACGAGTTCTTCAATGATAAATTGGGAAAAAGCATGTCGATCGTTGACTTCTACAAAACGAACACGGCTACGACATCCGCTATCCACATCTTCCTTGTATTCAGAAGAAGCCGACGAAGGGAAACACCAAAAAGACTTTGTACCCATTGGAAGTTTGTAGTTTGCTGATTGACCCCGTGAGATATACGGGTCTTATTACCGAGAAGCTCAAGGGCAATATGATTCAATACACCACGTTGAAAGCTGAGCAACGGAAGCTGGTCCTTCAGAACATCATTGGACAGAAGGCAATTGGCGATTGCCCACCCATCGTGGATAACAATGATCGGTATGTATTCTCAATCTTTTCAACTTTCGGAGTTTTACGTATTTTCAGAAAAAAAAAAGATTTTTGTTTGTTTATGGAATTTTTTTGGACGAGAATTCCCAAATTTCGGTTCTTTATGGATTTTGTGATTTTTTCGTTAATCTCTGAATCATTCTATTTTACGAAAATTCGAGAAATTCAAAAATTATAAGATTTTTAAAAATAACAATTTCGGAATAATTATAAATGTCTAAAAACAATTTTTTGAAAATTTTATGTTTCTGAATTCGTGAGTTTCTGAATTTCTGAATTTCTGAATTTCTGATTTTTGATAATTTACGGAATTTTTTGGATAAAAAAATTATTTTTCTCGATTGTCAGAAATTTCAACTTCTCGAGTATTCTGAAATTCCAAATTACTTCAATTTTAAAATTTTGGAATTTTCTGGAATTTCAAAAATTTCAGATTTTAGGTGATTACCGAATTTCTGAATTTCTGAATTTCTAATTTTCCAATTTTCTGAATTTCTGAATTTCTAATTTTCCAATTTTCTGAATTTCTGAATTTCTAATTTTCCAATTTTCTGAATTTCTGAATTTCAAAAATTATAGATACATGACGGGCCATGGCATTACCATCGACAAAGAGATGCTAACCGTCAAAGCTTGTCTCTTGCCACCTCCAAAAGTTGTATATGGCAACTCCGAGTTCCTAGATTCGGAACATCTTGGAGAGTGGGAAGCTGTCACCCATGATCCAGTGAGAACAGTCCTCGATGACGCCATATACGTGAGAAGCAGAGTTCCGGGTGCTCCGAAGCTGAAGAAAAGGATTCTGGGATGTATTCTCAAAATTGGAAGCCCGATGAATTCCTCAGTTGACTTCGGCATCGACGATATGTGTTATCACAATCTGATGAAAGCGATCGAGGCAGCAGGGCAACCAGTTTGTTGGGCCAACAGGGACATGGGACAAGCTGTGATCCACGCGAGCGAGGAGTACTTGCAAGGACGGGATCTGCCAGGTGTCAAGTTGGATTGGATGAGAAACCTCAATAATGAGAATTTGGATTCGTATAAGCAGTCGGAGGATGAGGTCATCGTGCCATTGGTCCTGATGATCTTCCAAGTGAGATTCACTACGTTGAATTGTGAGAGATCCGAGTTCCAGAACGACTACAGTGAGTTTTCTTAGAATATTATATAAAGATATATTTCGAATTTTTAGAATTTCAGATTCTCAGAATTGCGGAATCCTGGAATTTTGAGAATCTGAAACTCTGAAGTACCGGATTTTTCATTGATAATTTCCGAAAAATTTTCTGAACATTCTATTTTTTTAATTTTCAAAATTTCTGATATTCGAATTTTTCTCGATTTTCAGATATTTCAATTTTTCAATTTTTCAAAAAAATTTTATAAAAAAATTAAAATTTCTAAAATCGAGAAAAATCTAATGAAACCTTCTCTAAATTTTTCGGGGATTTTTTTCAAGTTTTTCAAACTTTATTCATTTTTTCCAGATCTCTTCAAGTGGATGGCTGACAATGAGGTCGGAGTGTTCACTCAAGGTCTCCTGTACAAGACCTTCAACTCCATTGGGAACACTCCAGCCTCATGCAGGTTCACGAGGCTCATTGTGGAGAAGATCCTCGGAAAGATCGGCACAACCCATCGTCGCCTGGAGCGCGATGGAGATCACAAGTCATGGAAAAAACTTGTGAATCCTGCGGAGCCAACCCTCTTTCTTGGAGTCGACGTGTCGCATCCAAGTGCTCGCGACCTGAAAGGAGACGATCCGGTAAAACGCCTTTCTGTGGCCACAGTCGTCGGAAATATTGACCTGGACTGTACCGAATACAGAGCGTCTTCCAAACTCCAGGACGTTGGAGAAGAGAGAATCGTCCGATTCCAAGAGGAGATCCAAAAGAGAATTGGAGAGTTTGTCCAATTTAATGGAATCTCCCCGGCACACATCGTCATCTACCGAGATGGTCTCTCCGAGGGAGACTTCCAACGAACGCTTTATGAGGAGAAAACGGCTGTGGAGACCGCCTGCAAGCAATTTGGTCCAGGATTCAAAACAACACTCACCTACATCGTTGTCACCAAACGACACCATACCAGATTCTTCCTGAAGGATGAGGAACAAGGACTCGAGCAGCAAGGATACAACATTCGTCCGGGAACCCTCGTGGAGGATACTGTCACCACCAACGACTACTACGATTTCTTCCTAACCACTCAAGTCGGTCAGGTTGGTCTGGCGCGGCCGACCCACTACTACGTCCTCTTGAACGATTGGGATGTGCCAGCAACGTTCTGGCCTACCGTAACCCACGCTCTGACGTATTTGTTCTGCCGCACCACCAGCACTGTCACTCTGCCAGCACCAGTGCTCTACGCGCATTTGGCAGCGAAAAGAGCCAAGGAGACTATGGATGGAGCTCTCTTTGCGAATCGGTGAGTTTTTTGGGAACATTGCTCAGTTCATCATTTATCGGAAAAATCCAGAATCTCTTGGAAATTTGGAATCAGCTCATGAATTTTGAAAATTTTGATAAAATCAGATTTTTCGGGATTTTTGGAATTATAAAAAATTTCAAAATTTATGAAAATTCAAAAAAAAAAGAATTGCTGAAATCCTGAGATTCTGAGATTCTGAGATTCTGAGATTCTGAGATTCTGAGATTCTGAGATTCTGAGATTCTGAGATTCTGAGATTCTGAGATTCTGAGATTCTGAGATTCTGAGATTTTGAGATTCTGAGATTCTGAGATTCTGAGATTCTGAGATTCTGAGATTCTGAGATTCTGAGATTCTCGGATTCTAAAATTCTGAGATGCTAAAATTCTGAGATGCTAAAATCCCGAGATTCTGAGGGTTCAGAATTCTGAGTAACTGTAACTTTGAGAGTTTCAGAATTTCAAAATCTCAGCATCTTAGAAACTCAGAATTTCAAAAAATTTCAAATTCTCCAAAGTCAAAAATTGATATTTCGGGATTAGGAAAATCATCATCGTCAAAATGTTTTTTTTCAAATTTCCCCATTTTTCAGAGGAGTTGGTCGAGTTTTCGACCTTTCCCAATTCAGCGAACTTGCTCAACTGACAAATTGTCTTCAGTCAAATCCGTCACTGGATGGGATGACGTTCGTCTAATTTGTTTCTTTGTCTCTGTTTCTCTGAACAATGTAGCTTTATTATGTACCCTCATTCACAATAATTTCCTGTAACTTTTCAAATATTTTTTGTAAAAAAATTCCATTCTGCCAAATTTCTTCTCCTTTTCTCGTGCCTCATATACCCTTTTTAATGGTAACCTTCCATTTCAAAATTCTTGTAAAAAATATTTTTCTGCATTTTTTTCTCTCACCACCCAAAAAAAATCCATAATAATCCCTTATTCTTAACTTCGCCCCTTCTTTATTCTGTACGAATCTCATTATCTTACGGTTTTAAGGTGTCCTTGTTAAACATAGTAAATTTGCTTTTATGGTGTTCTTAGCGGGTTTTTTCAAATTTCCAGGTGGCCTAGAAAAATCAGATTGTTAAGCGGCCTAGAAATCAAATCAGGAAATTTAACAATTATCCTAAAAAACTCATTTGTCAGAAAATTTGGATTTTTTCGGAGATTCACAAATCAATCTGACAAGGGAACGTTTTTAAAAAAAGTCTTTGGGGATTCGCTGAAAATTTCAGTACCTAAAGTTTGACACCTCCTCTACACGATGACGAAAAAATCTAGGTCCAATTCCAAATTCTATTTCTATTTCTCTGAAAATTCAGATACTTAATGTTAGAAGATTTGAATTTTTCGGAATGAAATTGCTTGATTTTTTGAATTTTCCGACGTTTGTGAGATTGCAGAAAAAAGTCCAAGATTTCAATTTCTGGAATTTTTCGATTTTCCAAAATTTCGATTTTCAGAAATTTCAGTTTTTTTATTCTCTGAAATTTCAGTTATTCAAAAATGTTGGGTTTTTAAAGAATTCTTTTTCGAAGAAATCAAAAACTGTTGAAATTTCTGATCTCGGATGTTATGAATTCCAAAATTTAAGGATTTCAGAACTTCAGGATTCCGAAATTCGCGATTTCAAAACTTCAGAGTATTAAAAACCAAGAATCTCAGATTTTCAGATTCCACAAATATCCGAAATTCGGAATATAAGAATTCCAAAATTCCAAAATATAATATTAGAAATTCAGAATTTTGAAATTTTGAAATTTCCGAATTTCAAAGTTTCAAGAATTCAAAGTTTCAGATTCTGGGATTTTTGAAAAAAAAACAACCAAACAAAATTTATTAATACCAATACAAAATTAAAAAAAAAGAGGAAAAAAACTATAAAAATCCTTCATTCATTCATCCAAAAACACAATTAAATAATTATTCGTTCACTTTCTTCGTCTTAAATGAAATCGAAATTTTCACTTTTCGTCCTGTTGTTTTTGTCGAGTCAACGGCATTTTCGCAAATCCCAAACGTCTCAAGTCGTCCGCCGTAAATGACATGGCCGTGTTGCAATCGTCAAAACTGAAAATATTGTATTTTTCGTATTTTTGAAATTCTTTGGAATATCTGATTTTCAGAGTTTCAGAATCTCAGAATCTCAGAATCTCAGAATCTCAGAATCTCAAAATCTCAGAATCTCAGAATCTCAGAATTTCAAAATTCCAGAATTTCAGATTTTTACTTGTAAGAAGACGACGGTTTTGACGAGGATGACTCGAATTTCGTGTGCGATGAGGATCTGGAAATTCAAACTTCTGGATTTACAGATACACAGGTAGACCCACTTTTCAGATTGCAACGTAGCCGCTGTTGGAATCGTGGCGACGCCCAGTGACGTGGCATCATTCAATGGGAATGAGGAGATGGATCTGGAAGAATGATATTCAGGGATTACTGTAGATAAGTGGCCACTTGGATACAGTGGCTACAGTACTACACTTACGTGGCAGCGGGGTTGGGAGTGTGGATAGAGTGTTCGGCATGGGTGCAGACTATGTCCAGCTGGAAGAAAGTTAGAACTTCAATGTTTCACAATATTTGAATTTTTGAACTTTAGAATATCAGAATTTTAGTAAATGTCAAAAATCTCACCGAATCATTTTCACCCTTCTTCAATCTCACACATCGTCCTACCGTAACCGGAATGACCGTCTGAATCAATGAACTTCGAAAATGCACCAGCTCAGCGTAGGTCATGGATCCGAACGTCAGTCCACAGAGAATATTCGACGCTTTCCGATCGTTTAGACGACGTTCATAAATCCATTTCAACGCAATGTTGATGACATCAATTTTCATGGAATCCGGAATCGCGACGATACAATTGTGACGATGGAATTGACGGAAATTGAGAGAAGATTCGAGTAGCTGAGTTGGTTGGTTGAGGAGAGAACATGGAGAATCGAAACAAGATCAGAAACGGTCTCATCGGATACGGCAAGCAATGTGGATGGAGAGTGAGGGATCTGGAAATTGAGAGTTCGAATTTTAGGAAAACACATTTCTTCCGATATTGCAGTCTTAATGAATTCAATTTCCAAAATTTTGAAAATCCCCTACCGTTTTCAAATTGGTCGTGACCAAATTCAAAACTTCCACACATTTCCCTTTTCGTGCAATCGCCACCAATTTCTTCTCAATCTCGTCCTGCAGTTGGCCAATTCCAAAATACGAGATGACTTCTAAATCGTTTTGAAGTGTATCAAAATTAAATGTGACTTTTCCAAAATAGATAAAATCCAACACTTTCTTCACACTGTTCTTGTCCAGAAACTTCAGATCCACATCGAATGATCCGTTTTCCGATTTTTTGAGTTTCTCCAAAAAAGTTGATGAGAATGCGGCGAGAACTGCCGAATGGACGAGTAGAATTTCATTTTGGAAATGGAGACGAACGTCACAAAAATTGCGAAGACCCGAAAAATCAGACTGTAGGAAATGGGCGGTCGATTCAAAGTGATTGGCGGTACCGGTAACATCAAGGCTAAAAAAAGGAAATTTCGGAATTTCGGAATTTTTAGTTTTTGTTCTTGGATCTTTGGGAATATCGAGACTTCAGAGTTTGCATTTTTCGGATTTCTCAAGGATTTTAGAATTTTTGAACGGAATATTCCGAAGTTTCAATTTTAAATTTGGAATCATTTGAATATTTTTGGGATTTTTTAATTTTCGAAGGTTTTGAAAGTTTTGAAATTTTCAGAATTTTCAGATAAATACAGAGAAACTCGAGAATAGCGTTATTTCAAAAATATGAAATTTCAGAATTCGAAATTTTTACGCATTTCCAAATATCCCGATGTCCTTCCCCCTACCAATTCGTCACATCGTTGTGAAGATTTCTAGTGCGGACATTGCAAAAATCGCTCATTCTGGCCTAGTGCTTCTGAAAAAGTGTATTTTTTTGAGATTTGGCTGAAAATATGACTGCGGCCGGCTGGTCATTTTCGACCGTCTTGCCCAAAACTCACTTCTTTTTCTGCCCGGGGGTGCTTATTTGAATCCCGGTTTACGTTTTGAGAAATGATTGTAAACCGCGCAGTGAGCCTTCGAGAAATATATGGGAATGGCTGAAAAGGGTGGTGGAGGAGGGGAGAAGAGAGGTGGCTTTTTTGCGGAACTTTTTTTTATTTAGGTTATTGGAGTAGAAAATAGAGAGACTTGGGTTACGTACATTTTGTTGGAAAAGTGTTAAAATTCGACGTAACGACCTAGATTTCATGTAATTTTGAAATTTAATCAATGAGATTTTTTGAGGCGGCAGTGTGCATTCTGACGTGACGGTGTCAAAAAAAAAGGAAAAATTTGAAAATTCCAGAATTTCCTAAAATCAACGAAATTCCGAGGTTCCCGAACTTGATATTTCTAATTCAAAAAATCGAAATTTTTCTAAAATTTCAAGAATTGCTAAACTTGAAAAATCTGTAGTTTCGAATTTCCGAAAGATACATTCCGAAAGATACATTCCGAAAAATGTTTTAATTCAAATTAAATTTGTACTTGAAAGACAGGAAAATGTATACCGTAAAACCTGTATTAGAAGGGCCCTCCGAGAGGGGCTTCGAAAAATAGAAGCCCCCCCCCCCCCTTGTAATAGAAAGGCCCCCGTATTAGAAGGGCCCTCTGTGAAGAAAAACCCCCTTCAAAATGTATTTTGAAATCAGAAAATTCCCGTACTTTTTCTGTAGAAAATATTCCGGGAACTCCACAATTTAATAGAAATGTGTTGAAAATATTTTTTTCGATGGAAATATTGCTAAATGTTGGTGACATTGGGAGATTTTCATGAATCTGAACGAAATTTCGTCGAATTTTTCGATGCAAAATTTCGGAAAAAAAAACTGGCCTGAAAAATAAAAGGGTCCCCTCTAATTGAAGGGCCGCTGTAATAGAAGGGCCCTCCGGAGATACCTTAGAACAACAGGAGGGCCGGCCTTTCTAATACAGGTTTTACGGTAGTCTTTGTATTCGACATCTGGATAAACAATACGAACATCGGGAAAAATTGTATATATTTTCTTGAAAAATTTCAATTATGAAGAGATTTCATAATCAAATTTGCTCAAAATTTGAAATTTCAAAGTATTGAAACGAATTTTGGAAAACTATTCTGAATTTCATATTTCAGACTTTTTCCAATTGAATTTCTTCTGGAGATCTCTTTTCTTTTCAATTTCAAAGTTCTACATTTTTTTGGAGTTTCTTGAAACTTCCTCTTCCTCTAAACCTTTTAGAAACTGCTGACCATACTAAAAAAAGTATCATATTTTCTTATCACCGAAACTAGACCTCAAAAATAAAATGGACACTGCAAACAAATAAAACTGCCTCGAGTTGTGAAACTTTCTTCAATTTTTCACTCTATTTTTTTCGTTTTATTGACTATTGAAAAGAAATGTTTTTTTTAGAATTTGAAAGATTTCAACATGGTTTTGTTCAGAAACTTGAAAATGCGCCTTTTTTTCAAAGTATGAATATTTTTCAGAATGTCTTCTGACAATCACGGATTTGTTCATGACGAGATTGTGGTCCAACCGGCCACACCAACATCTACTGAAGGACAACAGGTACTTTTTTTGTTCAAAAACGTTTCACAAAAAATTCCAGCAACCTCAAAATCCAAATCAAGGGAGAAAACGATCGGTGGATGTTGGGACGTCCACTGCTCAAATTATTATTGAGTAAGGCTTAGAATCTTAGAATCTTAGAATCTGAACATTCTAACTATTAATATCTAAACTTTCGAATTTCCGAAATCATACATTTTTCAGAAGCGAGCCACCAGTTTCCAATCGTGACTGCTGGAGTTCAATGTGTGACGTTTTTGGAACTCGTCAATCTGCCTATATCACCCAATTAAGACCAATTAGTACTTATCTTCTGAGATGCCAAGAAGCTCTTAAAATATTTCAATTCGAGCTAGAAAGAGATATCAAAACGAAGCAGTCATCAATGGCAACGTATCAGCATGTCATGGATTGTGTCATTGAGATAAATCATGTGTCTAGTAAGATTTTTTTTGGTTTATAGCGTTTTTCGAACCGTTTTAAGCCACCAATGGCTGAAAAATGGTGGAAATGGTTAAAAAAGGCTGAAAAGCGGCTCAAAATTTAAAAAAAGATGACCATTTCCAAGAGTCCAAAGCTCGGCTATCAAGTTTCCGATAACTTTGAAAATTTTGGAGAGTGGGAAACAAAGATTAAAAACTTTGCATTCACAGAACTATTAGGAAACTCCTAGTTTTTCTTCTACTTGCCAATTTCTGAAAGACGTCCCTTGTTGGCCTTTTGTACTGAAAAAGTGAAAAAACCGGTGTCTTTCAATATTTGACCGATAGCTGGAAAACTAGGAATTTCCAAAATTTTCTGTGAATACAAAATTTTCAATCTCGCTCTGTTTCACATCCTCCAAAATTTTCAAAGTGATTTGATTCTTGACAGCTGAGCTCCAGGCTCTTGAAAATGGTCGAAGTTGCCAGAAATCAACTGCGAAATGAGTTTTTGTATATCTTATTGGCCGGTATTGTAAACATGTAAGCTAGATGTTTTTCAGAGTCGTCACTTGGCAAATAATTTTTGTTACAGAAAGGCAATTTTTGTTTGTTTATAGGTGCCCAATGTTTATTGGTGCCAGGTGGTACCAGAACTTCAAGAGAACTTGTCAACTTTAAACTTTAACTTTTAAGTTATGAATTTAAAAAGTTTCAAATTTAAAAAAGGAGATTTTTCAGTGCACCGCGACCTGAACATCCCTCCCGATGAGCACACGATGCTCCGATCGGTTGCCTATGAAATGGCTCTGTTGGCAAGGATCATTGAGGAAGTGGCGAATCAGGCAAACGATAAACCCAGAAGCCGTACCAACTCTTTCGCAAGGTTGACTATTTCTGCACCGGTGAGTTTTTGGATTAGCATCGGAGCGGATTTGCAAGTTTCACATTGCTAGGGCCGCCAACGAGCCACCACTGGCCTGTCGATAATTTTGAGCTCAATTATCTTGGCTCCTACAAGAGATATCAAAAATCTGCCAACTGATAAAATGTTGCTGATATTATGATAAACAATAAATCAGTTTACTAATTTATGATATCATTTATAGGAACCGAGATAATTGAGCTCAAAATGCATGTGTAGGGTGGGCTTCTAATTGTAGGGAAAATACGGTATACTGAATTTTTTCCAAACAAGCTATCAGAACTCTAGTTCATTTATGCTTGGAATATGTTGGATTCTTAAAGCTAGATGTTTTTCAGAGTCGTCACTTGGCAAATAATTTTTGTTACAGAAAGGCAATTTTTGTTTGTTTATAGGTGCCCAATGTTTATTGGTGCCAGGTGGTACCAGAACTTCAAGAGAACTTGTCAACTTTAAACTTTAACTTTTAAGTTATGAATTTAAAACAAAAGCTATCAAACTTTATTTTTTAGAAAATGATATTCTTGCTCTATTTGACTGAATTTCAATTTTCCAGACAGTGCATACCAGTACCGAAGGCGACGAGACCCGAGACATCGGATCGGGTGAAAGCGTGCCAGCTGTCGACGTGGGATCTTTGAAAGACAACATTTCGAAAGTTTTCGATATGGTGGAGAATTTGATGAAGTACATTGACAAGAAAACCGAGAGAAGATGGTGGCTTCGAGATGTCATAAATTTCACCCAAGCCGCTGTCAAAGTGGCACTTTTCATCAGTGCCGCTATTTCAGTAGCTTATCATGAGAATCAAATTGCACCAATTATCACATTAGTGATCACTATTATACAGGTACAGTACCAAAGTATGCATTCTGATGTGGCGGTGTACAGTTATCGGTCGGCGGCGCAACCTCCGCCACCGTAGCCCAGCCGCCGACGTTGAGCCTATATATCTAGCTTCCTGTTAAAGGTATCAAAAAGCGGACAACTAACAAAATGCTTATTATAATATCGGAATGTTTTTATCAGTTGATTATTTTCTGATATCTTTCACAGGGAGCAAGATAAATTGACTCAAATTTGAAAGATAGGGAGTATTTAGATGAAAATGGACTACTTAGGATTTTTTATTTATTAGAAATTTTCAGAGTGTGTAAAATGAGAAAGTGTGATATTTCTTGAAATTTTGGCACCTGGTTAAAATTTAGCGGTTTATCTCAACTGGATGAATTTGTACAAAAAAGTTGCCAACTACAAAACTAAAGCTGTATCTTTGTTTAGTAGATTTTAAAAAATTTCGGACAAATCCGACAAATTCTAAAGTATTTTGTAGACATCCAAAGTTGACAACTTTCAACTAAAAATGCTCTATTTGCTCTGATAGATGCTCACGCTATTGAGCTCAATACCTAGGCTCCTGTCAAAGACGTTAAAAATCTGTCAACTAATAAAATGTTGGTGATTTTATGATAAACATTTCATCAGTTAAAACTTATTTGATATCTTTTGAAGGAACCGAGATAATTGAGCTTGAAAAACGTAAGAAAATTTTCCAGGGCATCACCGAAGGCTTCGACCAGTATTTTCTCAAGAACAAGAGTCCAGACGATATTCACATCTCGGTACTCACCAATACGATGAATAATTTGAAAAGTTAATCGATATTCTGAATTCGCGAAGTGATAATAAACTTTTAAAACTTCTTTTTTTTCCAACTTCTTCGAAATTCCTGAACATCCTTTTGCGAATTATGAGTTTTTTTTTAAATTTCCAATTTTTCTGGATTTTTTTCAATTTCCTAAATAAAAAAATTGAAGTTTTAGAATTTCAATTTTTTAGAGTCTCTGGATTTCAGAGTTTTCCTGGATTTTTTTGGACTTCTGAATTTTTCTGGAATCTAAATTTTTTTTGTATTTTCTGTATACCCTATCGATTGGCACATCCGCTAGAACCCTCTCGTTTTGGTCCTAAACCGTCTGCCGCGCACTGCTCCACGTTTATTTGGTGGGGAAGGCGGCGAGAGATGCGCACACTGCATGGTTTAGCCAAAGAGACTCAGATAGAAAAGCTAGACAACGACACTCCGTATGACGCGAGGCGCGCGTTGTTTAGCCACACAAACATGGTGCATCCACCCTCATTGGTCCTTATTTTGCACATTTTCTTTCTGATTTCCTATTGATTTTTGGTGATTTTCGGCAAATCGAATTTCGCTGCTTTTTTAACATTAGAAAACTACTTGATTCTTGATTTTTATATCTGTGTTTAATCGCTTTTTGGGAGTTTAGAGAAAATTAATGTTTTGATTGAAATTAAATTTTTTTCCAGATCATGGGTCAATTATCACTAGTATTGTTATCACTACTACTGCCAGTCACACTTGCCAATGTGTACAGTTGCGCTGGTTTCGTCAAATCCTCGTCTTCAATCGACTTTTCGGATTTGAAGGTGAGAAAGTTCGAAATTTAAAATTCGATTGAACATTTTCACCCCTAAAATAAGTTCCAGGTAAAACTTCTAACTCTCGAAGGTCATCTGAAGCACGAGGAGGAGGTGAATCCATCGAATGGATATTTTATGATACCGGTTTACAATAAAGGATCTTATACTTTGAAAGTCGCCTCTCCAGCAGGATATTATTTCGAGCCAGACACTATCGAAATCAAGATCGATGGCAAGACAGACGCGTGCTCCAATAACGAGGATCTAGTCTTCAAGCTCACCGGATTTTCAGTTCGGGGAACTGTCGACGGAGCTCCAGCGGGTCTATCGCTGGTCTTGACCCAAAATGGGAAGCAAGTGGATTCCACGAAGACGTTTGAGGGTGGAAAATACGAGATGAGAGCGCCGCCAGGAAAGTATGAAGTGTCAACTGGAGCCGATGCTTCTGAGTGTATTGCTAGAGGAAAAGCCACTGTGGAAGTGAAGGATTCTCCAGTTGTCGTCACGCCGAATCTCAAAATCTCTGGATACCAATTGGAAATTGCCACGAAGAACATGGAACATCATCCATTCACAGATGCTGTCATGACACTCTATGCCACCTCATTTATTGATGTAAGTTTTTTAAACTCTTGAGCCGCCTTTGAGCAGAAACTGATCTGTTTACTCTAATTTTGCTCCTGTGCCACTACGGCGGTAAAATTTAGATCAAGATACTTTTGAAATAAGAAGCTTAGCGGCCCAAATGGTTTCTGGGTTGCTAAGCGTATTTTCAAAAGAAAAAAAAACTGATTGGTCCACGGCAACCTACCAACGGCTCGGGTCGCGGACGGCCGCTTTTGAGCCGCTTTTTATCCGTTCAATCTGAACTACCCTCTTACCGATACCAGCTCTATTTCCAGCTTCCAAACGTAAAATGTGAAACTAGTGAAGGCGCACACGATGTACCAACCACTCATAATGTCCGATGTGCGCTTGGAAAGACAGATCCACGTGGAAGACTCACCGTACCATGCGTGCCATCTGGAAAATACTATCTGCAGCCGACACATGAGGATGGAGTCACTTCAATCTCATTTGCTCCAAGAACAGGACTTATTGAGATTACACAACAAGCGAATGAGGTGAGTTTAAGAATTCGAATTTCCCAAAACCGATCCTATGACTTTCAGGCCGTCTTCCAAGCTGCCTCCGCCACTGGTCGTGTCCGTGTCCTCTCCAAAGATCTTCCTCTCTCCAACGTGGAGGTCGTCGTAAATGGACAGAAGAGTGGAAAAACCGATTCTCAGGGCCACTTCACTCTGGAGAACCTTAAGGAAAACGAGCACACAACTGTTACTGCTACCGCCCCACATACTCATTTCAACACTGTCCAAGTGAATGTGCAATTCCCACGTGTCAGTGTAGAAGACGTTCGGGTACAGAAGTTTGATATTTGTGGACAAATGGAGAAGACCGAGGAGGGCAAGTTGGAGAAGCTCACTTTCACTAGAAAAGATGATAAGAGATCGTTGGAAATCACCCCGAAATCGGATGGGAGCTTCTGCCAAGCAGTCAGCCCTGGACAATTCACAATTGAACCCACTGATAAGGCATCTTCCCTGACGCCACGCCTTCTGGAAGTTGACGTTCTCACCAAGCCAGTCACCAATCTCCGGTTCACCCACTTCAAAACCAACGCTAACGTTCATGTCTCTTGCATTGGAGCCTGTCCAACATCCACGATTTCTCTTTTCCTTCCTGGACAGACCCTAGTTCGAAGTGTCAAAGGGACAGATGTCTTTGTATTCGAGAATATTGGCCCAGGAACTTATAGTGCTCGTTTGGATGATAATGGAAGAGGATGTTGGGAGCAATCTGAGATGACGTTGAAGGTAGAACAAAGTAAGACACAGCCGACGATCCATTTCAAGCAAAATGGATTTGCTGCACAGATTGAGATATCGCATCCAGCAAAGATTGTAAGTATAGCTACAATAAATGCTCTAATTTGAAGTTCAATCTATACATCTTTTTTGAGCTCAATTATCTTGGTTCCTACAAAAGAAATCAAATATTTGTCAACTGGTAAAATGTTGCAAACCTTACCAAAAACATTTTATCTGTTGACAAATTTTCGATAATTTTTCAAGGAACCGAGATAATTGAGCTCCAAGTGCACATATAAGGTTGACATCTATTAGAGGAAAAAGACTGAAATCAATAATTCTAACGCAATCCTTTCTTTCAGGAATGGTCCAACGTGGATCGCAAACAACTTGCCGGAAAAACTGAAACCAAAGGTGGAGAAGTCATCTCGATCTGCGTTCCAACATCTGGTGTCTACGATATCTCCCTGGATTCATGCTACAAATTCGATCAACAACAATTCAAGCTCACTGTTCCATTTGATGGAGTTCACAAGGAGAAAGCAATTGCTGCTCGGATTACAGGACAAATTGACTTGGAAAATGACAAGAGTGCTGGAGTCTCTCTCCGTGTCAAGTCTAGTGCAGGAGATCGTGAAATTCAAGTTTCAACGAATGAAAACGGCAAATTCGAATTTGAAGAGCCCCTGGCCAGCTCTGGAGAACAAATGCTTATGGTTCCATCTTCGAAGCTCCGCCTCTTTGAACCAACATCCAAAATCATCACAATCACTGGAAAATGTATTGATAACGCTGTTGTTTTCAAGTCGTTCCGTGGAATCTTCCTCGATGGATCCATCAAGCCAGCTGTGGAGAATGCAGCTGTAAAGGCTGTTTTGAAGACGGATAAGGATGTTGTGATTGAGACAGTGTCTGGAAAGGACGGAAAATTCAGAATCGGCCCAGTCAAACGCATTGAAGACTACGACATCACCGCCACCCTTGACGGCTTCAAATTCTCACCGACATCCACCCCAGGCCACTTTGGCTCTGTCAAACTCTCGCAACTCTCTATCAAAGTCGCCGATGAGGTCACCAATGAGCCACTCGACGGAGTTTTGTTGTCTCTTGTCGGCGGAAAAGGGTCCGACTATCGATCCAACAACGTTTTGGATGCCACGGCTCAGAAGAACTTCGTCGCTCTGGCACCAGGAGAGTACTTCGTTCGAGCCATTCTTCAGGAATACAAGTTCTCCCCATCCACCTCTACCATCTCTGTCAAGGAAGGACAACACGAGAATGTGGTTCTGAAAGGAAAGCGAGTTTCATTCTCAGCGTACGGAAAGATGAGAGAAATGTCTGCGAACGCTGTGTCCGACGTCCTCATCGAGGCATTGTCCCAAGGATGTGATCTCCATCAATCAGAAGCCACGACATCTTCAGATGGAACATTCAGAATTCGTGGACTTCTTCCAAACTGTGAATACAACGTGTATGCCAAGGCCTACGTTGATGGCGCTAATGCACCACACACCTTCCCAAGACAATTCACAGTTTCGATGACTCCAGAAGACGTCAAAGGCTTGGAGTTCATTGCAACGAAGACTGTCAAAACTACCGATATCTCTGTGGAAATTGGAATGGAAAGTGTCCCAGAGGTTCAGTCAGTAAGGGTGGTGATCACCAAGAACGACAATGAGCACATTCAAACTGCCACCGTCGTTGCTCCTCAATATCTTCACTACCTGGTGAACTTGCCACGCGACGGAGAGGAATATGCGATTCGTGTGGAGCCAGAAAGGCCATCACAAGCATTCAACGCTAAGACGGTCCGAGTTGTGGCTGATGCGGCGATGAAGGTGGCACGTGTTCCATTGACGACGTCCAAGAAGTTGAATGACGTGGATATCAGTGTGGGAAGTCTTCTGTCTCTGCCGTTCTTTGTCTCGTTGGCACTGATCTTCTTCAATCAGGTAAGAACTTTTTGGGGTTTTGAGATTCTTAGATTCTGAAATTCTAACAGCCTAGAATTCTTAGATTTTTTTCTTTTTTTTCAAAAACCAAATTTTCAGAATCGCGTGCTGGAATATCTGGAACTCTTCCTCGACTTCTCGCGCAGCACATTCCGACCTGCCACTCCGGATAATCACAGAAGACGTCGATAGATATCTTTTATCAATTTTCCTTGTTTTTAAACATTCCCCTCATATCCAAATTTTCTCCTCTTTTTTTGCTCCATAGGCTTTTTCTTAATTTTTTCAGATTTTTTGTTTTGAATCTCAAAATTATTCATGGCTTTTTTCTAGTTTTAGGCCCCAATTTTCGCGTATTTTTTGCCTTTTTTTTTCCAAAAATAGTCATTTCCCCAAAGTCTAATTTATATAAATTATTTTCATTTAAGAATCTATTTAGACCATTTTTGTTCCTTTTTTTCAAACTAAAAATAGGGATTTGAGCACTATACGATTGCTCTAGGGTCCTTCTTGATGAATTATTGATTCGCAATTCTTTTGGAAACGAAATACACAAAAATATAAAATTCCAGGTCAAAATGGACCAATTTTTTGTGCCATTTTAGTCCCCCTAATAGTTTTTTTAGCTGCACCGAAAGCAGAAAAAAAAGTTTTTCTGCCCTTTTCAAATAATCCGCCCCTTATAATAAGGTCTTTATAATAAGCATTGTTATTATTATTATTTCTAATCCTTCAGGAAATTTGAGATTTTCGGTTTTTTTTTCTGGGAAAGAATGTATTAATTCTTTATGCAACTTTTTTTCGCTCTATTTGCGCAGAGCAAGACATAGCTTGGCACCCCTGGCACCGGACCCTATCTATGCATCAGTGTTCAGAATGTGGTATTGAAAAATCGTGGGAAAAATTTTATTGAATTTTGATTGTGAGAAGAAAAAAGTTTTGAAAAAACTTGCTGAAAAGTTTCAGAGTTTAGCAGTTCTTTTGGAAAAGTCGTGAGAAAAAATTGGTAGATTTTCAAGTTCTGTTAATAATTTATTTTACTTGTTAGGAATGGATTTTTTTTGAAAAATTCTCGAATTTTTAAAGTTTGTAGTTTTGAAGAAGTTCTGTTTGTGAGACTGGGAAATTCGAAATTCCAAAAAACATTCAGAAATTCAAAAGACTGGAAAATCTGAATTCAAAAAAATATTTCATGCTGAGGTTCTTGTTAGATTTTGGGATCATAAAATCTGGAATTCTTTGATTCTGAAAAACTCAAATTCTGGAAACTGGAAAATCTGAAAAACCGAAAAATGAGATTAGCAAGTTCTGAGATTCTAAAGATTTTTAATTTCAGAATATTTTCAGATTCTCGGATATCTGAGTTTCCAGAATTCTGAAATTTTCTGAGATTCTGAGATTTTTTCGATTCTGTGTTTTCTGAGATTCTGGAATTCTGAAACTCTGAAATTCTGAAATTCTGAGATTCTGAGATTCCGAGATTCCCAGATTCCGAGATTCCGAGATTCCGAGATTTCGAGATTCTGAAATTCTGAAATTCTGAAATTCTGAAATTCTGAAATTCTGAAATTCTGAAATTCTGAAATTCTGAAATTCTGAAATTCTGAAATTCTGAAATTCCGAGATTCTGAAATTCCGAAATTCTGAAATTCCGAAATTCTGAAATTCCGAAATTCTGAAATTCCGAAATTCTGAAATACTGAAGTTCAAAAAAGATTTTAAAATTCTCGAATTTTGGTATTTTGAGTTTTTTGAAAATCCGAGGTTCTAAAATTTCCTCATGATTCATACACTTATTATGCTTTTTTTGAACACGAAAATGTTTTTTCAGCCTAGAGACCAAAATTCAAATTGATAATTTATTTATCAAACCTCCAAGATTTTCTAATTCATTTCACTCGGCACTAAATTTCAAAATGTTGCAAAAAGCTAGTTTTTTTCGAAGTTTTTCAATTTTTTTTTGACTCTGGGACTCTGAGATTCCCGAAATTCCTGATTTTTTTAAAACTCTGGATTGTGAAATAGATTCGGAAATGTTGATGGTTTGAAACTCCAATCTCTTTATCCAAAATCAAAACCTTGCATTCTGTTTTTGTGCTCTCTCCTAATCCAAAAATAAGATCTATGTATAAGTTATTATCCCATATTTAGATACTCCCGATTTATCCTTTTTTCCATTTTTTCTCTCTTTTTTTCCAAAAATACATTCATAATTCCCCGGAACCTTCTGCATGGGAAAAAGGAAAAAGAAGTTCCCAAAATAGCAAATCTATTTTTAAACATCTAGAGTTTTCCAAATCCCTAAAATTTGGAAATTTTCAGAAAACTCTAAATGTTCAAAAAAAAAATTCAAACTTGGCAAATCCCCAAAAATCAATTTTTCAGGGATTCAAAATTATAATTGAAAAAAGAAGATCGTATAATATTTGTACTAAATTATTAAGAATTCACTTTTTGTTATTCCTTCCCAGAATTTTCAATTTTTTGAATCTAAAAAAAAGGGAAGTGAAAAAATACAAATTTCCGGCGAAATTTTTCATTTTTAGACCCTCCTCCATCTTGAAAAATTGAAAAAAAAATACAAAAGTAAAAAGAACCATTCTTTTGAATTATTGAATTTTATGACATTTTCCTGGATTTTCGATTTTTTTAATTTCAGAATTTTTCATTTTTGGGTTGTTTCCCGTGTTTTTAGATCCTCTTCCACCCCAGGAAAACTAAATTGAATGGAAAAATGCTTCCTTCCGATAAATGCCAAAAATAGAGGGGCCATTTTATTTTTAGACACCTTTTGAGGATCTAAATATGGAAATTAAAAAAAAAAAACTAATTTCCTCCATGTTCCCCCTTTTGTTGACGTGAACCAATGTGCGTGTTTTGAGTTCTTCCAAAAATAAAAAAAAATTCCAGAAGAATTTGGACGTCTTCAGAATCAGATGACGAGTGTTTTGTCCCATTTTTAATATTTGTATTTCTGAATTATTCACATTTTAGTAGTACTACTTGTCATTGTGAGAGAAATGTTATGAAGGCGTGGGAAAATTCTGGAGATGATGAAAATGAAATTTTCAAATTTGGAAGATTGGAGTTTTCCGAAAAAATTGTAGAGTGCATGGGAAAAGTTTTTGGGGCGAATTTGGAATATTTCCTGTGCTTTCAGAAGTTTTGAATCTTCTGGAATTTCAGAATTTTCGCAGACAGCAGACTTTTTCTCTGCGACTCAACCTTTTTTTCTCTGTCAGACAGCAAAAATATCTGGAATTTCTGGAAATTCTAAACTCTGAAAATTCTGATTTTTCCGAACTTTTGTTTGAATCATGGCATTATAGATTTTCAGAGATTTTGACTTTCTGATATTCTGGAAATTCTGCCTTTTTGAACTCTTTTAAGATTTTTTAGGACTTCGGAATTTCTTTTATTTTGAATTATTGGATTTGAGATTGTCTGAACTTCTGACCAACTGAATTTCCGAAATTCTGGACTCCCAAACTTCAAGTTTACCATTTTTTTTTTCATCTCCCTGTTTTTAGAATTTCCCTTTTCTGACCTCCAGACATCATTTCTTAAACTCTGGTGTTTCAAAAAAATTAGTTATTAAAATTATGTAAATTTGACCTCATGGTGTTGTCTCTTGTCTCTTTTGAGCACACTTTTTCTGTTTTGAAATTTCACGAAAAAAAAATTAAAATTTCAGATCAATCACCAAAATTTTCTTTCCGAATTTCGAAAATCCGATTTTCCCCCGCCAAATTCTAATGAATATCTCATAAACTTGTGAATCGAAGAATCATACACCTTCTGAAATTTTTCCCACGAATTCTGAATTCTGAATTTCCGAATTTCTGAAGATCGGAAGAAGAATGTGATGAGAGAATGACGCGAGGGAGGGCGAAGAAAGACGGGGGAGGGTGTGGATATTGCTCATTTCATAATCATATAGCCTAGGCTCCGCCCATTTTTTTGGAGTCTTATAGGGTACCAAATAAAGCAGAGACGTCCAAATATTTACTTTGGAAAACTTGCTCAGGTTTCTATCCTTTTCTCAAAAACTCGACTATTCTGAATTTCTGAAAATTTTGATTTTTTCGTGATTTTTTGAATTCTTGTGTTTTCAGAGTATTTGATTCTTAGATTTTGATATTCTAGGATTTTTAGATTCTGAGATTCTGAGATTCTGAGATTCTGAGGATCTAAATTTTCTATTTGAGATTATGATTTTTAAGGATTTTTGAGAGTCTCACTTTCTGAAATTCCGAAATTCCGAATTCCTGGCAATTCTAGATTCCGAAATTCTGAAATTTTGAGATTCTGAGATTCGGATATTCAAAAGTTCAGAAATTCGAAAATTCAGAAGTTCGAAAACTTAGAATCTCCAGAAAATCAGAAATTCTTAAATTCTGAAGTTCTGAAAATCTAAGATTCTGAAAATTCTAAACTTTCTCTTCAATTGTAAGAGTTTAATTTATGAGACTTTTGTAAGATTCTGAAATTCTGAAAATCCAAGAATCCGATATTTCAAAATTATCTGATGATTCACAAATTTATTATGACTTTTTTGAACACGCAAAACTTTTTTCTACCTAGAGAGACCAAAATTCATCCGTGTCAAAACTGATACTTTATTCATCAAAGCTCCAAGATTTTTGAATTTTTTCACTCGCCACAAAATTTCCAAATGTTGCAAAAAACTAGACTTCTCTCTCAAAACTCTACTTTCCTTGTACTTTTTAAATAAATTTTTTTCTATTCAAACAAAATTTTGGTTCCTTTTAACCCATTTTTCCCATTTCCGTTCTGTTCAAAATTTTTAAATAGCCCTTTTCAAAAAAAAATTTTTTTTGTTGGAATCTCAATTTTATGAGTCAGCCAGAACCCATTTTTGGCTAGAAAACATGGACCAAAGAATTGAAAAAAAAAACAATTTTTTCATTTTCCTCTTGAAAACCTCCTCTTCAAAATTTGATTGAAAAACAAGAAATCAGCTGTTCCTATTTTTTCTGAAAATTTCTTTATTTGGAATTTCCTTATTTAGATTCTGAAATTCTGATATTCTGAGATTCTGGGATTCTGAGATTCTGAGATTCTGAGATTCTGAGATTCTGAGATTCTGAGATTCTGAGATTCTGAGATTCTGAGATTCTGAGATTCTGAGATTCTGAGATTCTGAGATTCTGAGATTCTGAGAGGACGAC